GCTACTACAAGTACTGTACCAGTACTTGGTACAGGGGTAGGTAGATTCAATGTAGATTCAGGAAAAGTTACAAAAACACAAGCTTACAGCAAATATATTAATAGCCACATAACGAGCTTCTCATATTTTATGTCTTGAATAGCATCATATAAACAATGAGAAAATACTTATAAGAAAAATTTCCATTCCAGTTTAATTTTACTGGGGGATGCTATAAATGATATTTGAGTAAATTTGGAATTCTCATACCTTAAAGGTGGACTGACTTTAAAATATTGTAAGAAATATCATTTCCCACAGTCTAGCTCTGTTTGAGGGCAGCACTGCCAGGAAGTTCAGTGAAGTGTTAATGCAATTTTACGTTTTTAATTTCCTTGGTTTTGAAATCACCCAAAGAAACAATTTAATTGCTGTGCATGCTATCATTTGAATACTTCCAGCTGGGCTTTTTGAATTCACACTTTACTGAAATGGACAGGGTGGGAAAGAGGTGATTCTCCTCCACATTTGTTCCTGTAGACTAGTAGACTTGTACTAGTCCTATTTTACTGTAGGTTTTACTTAGTCTTTTTGCAGGCTTGCTGCTTCTTTGTCATGTAAATAGGAAAAATAATTTTTTTATGAAAAATATAGAATTGACAGAATATTACAGACTCCAAAATCACTCTTCAGTTCGGTTTGAGATATAATATTTTTTCTCCTTTTTTTTAAATTTTAATTTTCTTCTTATTATTTATTTATTTATTTTTTGTCTTCTGACACTTCTTCAGAGGATGCATTGTCAGGAAACTATAGGCGTCCTCACACAAATCTAACTATAGCCTATAGGCAGTTGTCCTAGTGTCTGCTGTCAAACCATACATAGAAAATGCATTTACTAAAAATATGTTCTGCTGAGATCTAAGCAAGTACATTTGCAATGACAGACCTTTCAGATGCTAATCTCTTCCACACAAACCAAGCACAGGTATTTATTCACTGGCAAGACTTTCCTTGAGAAAAATATGCTTCTAATTTTCCAGTTGAAATAAGCTTGCTAAGAAATGTACTTCTTCCTTCTTCTAAGTATTAATGCAGGAAGAAGTGTAACTTTTACTAACATGTTAGCAATTTTCCTTAACTGAGTAATTGCTTAATTGCTCACACGTAGTCCAAAGTCAGACGTAAAAAATAACAGTTGAAGAGATTTTAGAAAACAAAGGTAGAATAAGGCTTTTAGTGGAAATATATTTGCAACCTTACAGGCACCAGGTGAAAGCAACATCCTCATTTTCAGATAAGAGTTTAAATGAAATGCTGCAGATTCTACAGGTAAAATCCAGACTCATGGGTTAAATTGCTGTTGCAGTTATTCTTTCACCAAAGTTCTGTCTAATAAATCTATTTTGCTAAGTTGTCTAAATCCTGCTGCAGTATTGATTTCTCCCTTTAAAAACTCTCACCCATTCAGTAAGCTCCAAGGACCCATGTCCCAGCTCAGTTCATTCTGAAATGCAGCTGGGATATGTTATTCTTGTCAGCAATCTTACAGTTACTAACTGATATTAAAGATATAAAATGCTTTTAGGAACAGAAAAGGAAATGTTCACCACAGAGACATACACAGTAATTCTAGTAACCCTTAGATAACAGTTTCGCCCAAAGAAAGATTTTTTTTTCCTATTCTGTTGCTCCTTGAAAACAGCTGGTTTTCCATTTACTGAGCACTTAACAATAGCTACCTTGAATTTATTCAAAAGACAGTACTGTCATATAATCCCAAGCCTGCAGAACTATTACAACTAATGGAAAGACACAAGTAGATATATAGAAAATGTAAATTAAGCATCCAGGCAGCATGGTCTGAAGGTTCTCTTTTCAGAACGGGAGTCTGCAAGATAGGTTCTATATCAAGGCTTTCAAGTTACCTTAAAAATCATTACTGTTATTATTAAGTTTAATTGAAGGTTTAAGGGATAACAGTCAAAGAACATATTTACTAAGGGTCCATTCTGCAAGACAGCTACTTGTGCAACTGAAGATTTTTGTCAAATATGTCTTTTGAAAATGTATCCATAAATCTAATATTTTCTGCTCTACTGTCTGATAAATAAATATCTTTAATTGCCCCTATTATCTTCATCCTAATTTCAGACAAACAAGTCTTCTGCTTGAAGAAAAACTGTTCTTATTATGGTGTAGTATCATTGCTTCTTAGGCTAGCTTAGTCAGTTATTTTCTTCTATTATAATGCCAAATGTTATTTAGATTTCAGTCATTTAGTAATGCTACACTGAACACATCAAGGATTCGGAAAAATTCCATACCTTCTCGTGCCTCTTCATTTTCATAATAATCACATATTGATATCCTTTTTTCCCCCAAATTACACACACTGTTATTTAAAAAATATCTTAGTATCTTAACACAGTTAAAGAGATTATGATGCAATGAACAGCAGTCTTCAGAAACATTTTTTCATGTTATTAAGATTACAGAAAATCTAGTTAAAATTCTTGCAGCTTTTAAGGAACCACAAGGAGCTTTGAGATGTAGAGCTTGACACTAACTTTTTCATAAACTCCCTCAGAGCTATCATCTGCATTAGTGAAGATATTTAGTTAAAGGTAGCACCCCTACCCTGTTTAACAGAAATCTATCAGTTAATTTAAATGTTGTTATTAGCTGCAGTTTGA